TATTTGAGGCGGGGTTTTTTTTTTTTTTTTTTTTTTCAAAATTCATTTTCAACTACATATTCTCCCATAAAATAATTGTATACGTAAATTCAAAAAAAAACCTATTTTTTTAACTGCGTATTCTTCGAAAATAAACATTATAAAACACATTTTCCCAAAAAAATAGGTCTCAAAGAGTGGCCTATAATCATGCTAAGCAGTAGTCAAACCATTCTTCAACCCACGTCAAAGGTTCAAACCCCATTCCCTATAAGAGTGTGTTTGGTGCATATTGAAATGAAAGAATGCATTTTTTTGAAGTGATGTGATGGAAAATATTTAGTTGAAAAAGAAAGAAAAGTTATTGATGTGATGAAAATTATTATTTTATTAAAAAATGTGTGGTTAAAAATGAGTAGAAAAATAATGTGGCTCAAGCATGGGCTAAATACTAAAGAGAAAATTACCTAGTTCCCTGTTTTTAAGTATTCAATTTCAAAAATCAGGTGTTAGGTTTATTTTATCAAAACTCAGGTATTAATTCAATTAATAATCAAAATCCAAATTAAAACCCAATTAGCAGCCTCCTCTCTCCCTCCGCACCCATCTTCTCCTCTTCTCTTCCAACGTAGCGGCGCCGCCCTGGAAGAGAGCCGCCTGCGCAGTGGCGACCCCACCGAGAGAGGACCGTCGCGAGTAGAGGTGCCGTCTACTTCTCCGGCTGATCCTCCGACGAGCTCGAAGACACCACAGCTGGATTCAGTAGCACCGTCGGTTCAGTAGCACTGTAGCAGTTCTCTGAGGCCCAAAATTGGAGTCTATCCGATCGGAATCTCCAACACCACAGCTGGATTCTGCCGGAATATTTCACCCAAACTCGCTGAGTATGCTACTGTCCTTTTCACTTCCAAAGAAAAACTCATCTCCGCCACCGAGTCTCCAGCTCGACTCAGTTGGATCCATCTTCTCCTCGTCTACTTCTCCGGCTGATCCTCCCGATGCCTCCACTTTTTCCTTACCTGGTAACTCTGGCAACTATAGATACAAATACCAATAATACCTATGCGTGAAAATCTAGAATCGGTAGTATAGAGCGGTTTCTTTTCTCACTCCTCTACAAACCATGGCAGTATAGAATCGGTAGTGATTGTGTGATTTGTGTGTTCTGGGTTGTTTTGGCTATGAGTGTGGCAATGGTGGTTTTGGGGTGGTGATGTGGTGTTGGGGAGGGTACGTTGTTTGTTTTGAGATGAACTATGACTGAGTGTGACCGTTTGAGACCGAGTGTGACCATTGT